AAGGGAGGGAGGGAGGGAGGGAGAGAGGGAGAGAGGGAGGGAGAGAGGGAGGGAGGGAGGGAGGGAGGGAGGGAGGGAGGGAGGAAGAGAGGGAGGGAGGGAGAGAGAGAGAGAGAGAGAGAGAGAGAGAGAGAGAGAGAGAGAGAGAGAGAGAGAGAGAGAGAGAGAGAGAGAGAGAGAGAGGCGGGGGTGGGGAAGATATAGTAAATAAATGGCGATCATTCCAAATATAAAATGTTTCATTATTTACAAACGGTGAAGTATTGATATTCAGACATTAGTGATTCTTACTTTTATTATTATCTTTATCATTATTATAAACATTATAAATTACTTTTATCATTATCATTATTATAGATATTATTGTTGTTATTATATTCACTTCTACATGTTCGAATTAACTCTTCATTATGTACTTATCATTAGTTGATTCGCTGATACATTCTTAGAATCGAATGAAATGTGATATGTATATAATGTGGATTTCTGAACTAGATATCTTGTGTTCATATCTAGTTCTAATCTATAAAAGTATTAGAAAGCAGGTATGAAAATGATTTATGAGCTAGATGCATTCACAATCTTGCAAAATTAACTATATCCTGTAAAAAAAAAATGTAAGCGCATTTGCAAGTACGTCATATTATCACAGAACTATATATATATATATATATATATATATATATATATATATATATATATATATATATATATATATATATATATATATATATATTTATATATACATGTGTATATATATATATATACATACATACACACATACATATGTGTGTGCATGTATGTATGCATGTATGTATGCATATATGTATGCATGTATGTATGCATGTATGTATTCATGTATGTATTCATGTATGTATGCATGTATGTATACATGTATGTATGCATATATGTATGCATGTATGTATGCATGTATGTATGCATGTATGTATGCATGTATGTATGCATGTATGTATGCATGTATGTATGCATGTATGTATGCATGTATGTATGCATGTATGTATGCATGTATGTATGCATGTATGTATGCATGTATGTATGCATGTATGTATGCATGTATGTATGCATGTATGTATGCATGTATGTATGCATGTATGTATGCATGTATGTATGCATGTATGTATGCATGTATGTATGCATGTATGTATGCATGTATGTATGCATGTATGTATGCATGTATGTATGCATGTATGTATGCATGTATGTATGCATGTATGTATGCATGTATGTATGCATGTATGTATGCATGTATGTATGCATGTATGTATGCATGTATGTATGCATGTATGTATGCATGTATGTATGCATGTATGTATGCATGTATGTATGCATGTATGTATGCATGTATGTATGCATGTATGTATGCATGTATGTATGCATGTATGTATGCATGTATGTATGCATGTATGTATGCATGTATGTATGCATGTATGTATGCATGTATGTATGCATGTATGTATGCATGTATGTATGCATGTATGTATGCATGTATGTATGCATGTATGTATGCATGTATGTATGCATGTATGTATGCATGTATGTATGCATGTATGTATGCATGTATGTATGCATGTATGTATGCATGTATGTATGCATGTATGTATGCATGTATGTATGCATGTATGTATGCATGTATGTATGCATGTATGTATGCATGTATGTATGCATGTATGTATGCATGTATGTATGCATGTATGTATGCATGTATGTATGCATGTATGTATGCATGTATGTATGCATGTATGTATGCATGTATGTATGCATGTATGTATGCATGTATGTATGCATGTATGTATGCATGTATGTATGCATGTATGTATGCATGTATGTATGCATGTATGTATGCATGTATGTATGCATGTATGTATGCATGTATGTATGCATGTATGTATGCATGTATGTATGCATGTATGTATGCATGTATGTATGCATGTATGTATGCATGTATGTATGCATGTATGTGTGCATGTATGTATGCATGTATGTATGTATGCATATATATATGTATATATATCATATATATACATACTTACATACAAACACATACACAAACACACATATATATGAAAGGTACACAAAAAACAAAGTACGTATATTACATCTTAAAAGATTTGTATCTAAATTTTGGCCGCTGTCCAGATAGCAACGGAAGATCACAAAAAAGTAAAAATTGCAAATAAAACTATCGTAATTGTAATAAAAATGGTAGAAAATGACAATAAAAGCACAGGAATGTGCTTTCTTGAGGGTGCGATGTATCTCGCAAAAAAAACTCTCCCTCGTGCATTTCGGATGTTTCAGAAAAGATCTTTGTGGCCGGAAAGAGCCCAGATGAAGCTTAGGGAGTCGGAGTGAAGTTCTGGTGGCCAACGGGAGATTTAGTGGCCAGGAGATGACTTTGGTTGGCCGAGAGAAGATTCAGCAACCCAAAAGAGGATTCTATAGCCTAAAATAAGTTTTCGGTGGCCTAAGGGCAGATTCA